TTATTATTATTATTATTATTATTATTACTATTGTTATTATTTTTATTACAAGATACAGACCCGTTCTACGAACGGTGATATAATAGTGATAGGAAATCCCAAGATAAAATGTTTGTACCGGATTCATTGTCGTAAGACCTCTGTGAAGACAACAGTGCTGGTTCTTTATATGTGCCATCTGGAACTCCAAATGGGCAGCAGGTTTTTCCGAAAGTATTCTAATAGACTCCCTGGGCCCAACACGACTTATTGCGACATACAATTATCCATGGGAAAAAAATTGCCCTGTTAAGAAACCCTTATTTTTTTTAAAGTCTGCCCCTCAGCTTTGTTGGCAATCAGTGCAAAAGCAGGTCTAGCTGTCCAACAATGGGAAGAAGATTTCCTAATTGGTGGTACAGGTTTCCCTGGATTTTGAAGGTTGGATTGAAGCTCTGTTCAGCTTGTTCACTGCATCCAGTTGAAGCAAGGGCGTGAGCATTATTATATGACCTACAGTGTGGTAAGAAAGAACTACCGCTCTTTGTTACATCGTAATACTTTTAGTTGTTGAAGGGGTGCGGGAGGTACAGGTATACTAGATTTATTATGCATCCATAATATATCAAGTTCTGACAAAAAATAATGCACCAAAAAACAATCGCTGTGGCTGTTGATTATGTTTATTCTTGGAAGAGAAATCAAACCAGCTTGTTTGATAAGATCTAAATAATAAATTGCAATATGTGTCATTAGAACAATTTTTTATGCGGCCAACGTAGGTTGTCTCTCTTGAATACAGTAAGAGGGAATTTCATTCTGGGGGATCAGCTGTCGAAAATACCAGACCTTCCATTTTGAGGAGAAAAAAAATCCAAGATACAGTCGTAAGTTGTACATTGTAAAAGGACCGTCAATTTAGGAGATGGAACTCCCACAGTAAATACATTAAAAGATTTGGTGGTGCTAGATCGTTTGAACACTTATAGGAAATGCATTCTATACAAAACCATATCTGGTTTCCGGCTGGGCTTGCGTATGAATGACTCGTTCGTCCCTTGACCTGTCTATATACTGCTGATTAACTCATGTTTTGACGTCCACAGAGCTATGTGCAGCTTCCTGGACACTCCAGTCTCTCTCTTCAAATAGACGGCAGTTCTCTAGATGACCAATGTCACTCAAATCTTGAACTTGCGGCCAATACCCAGCTGACCGGACAGCGCCAGAGATCTGGAACTATCCTGGAGCAAACGGAGCTCGCGACTGAAGCTGGGCGCAGGCATGACATGTCCTTAGTGGTGGGAATGGAGGAAGGCAACTGTGTCCAGGCTGTCAATGCCCAACCTTCCAATGTCCTATCTAACAGTTTCCAATCTTTCAATGCCCAGCATCCCAATGTCAAGTCTACCAGTGTCGAGTCTTTCAGTGACCGTATGACAAGCTCCCATCTGACACCCAGTCACGCACAAGGTACTTTCGGTCAACACTCCATTGACTCCATGTTGTCGGATACTGATCCAAAGGAATTCGGAGATGCCCAGACGCTCCGTCCAGTGCAAGTTGTTCTTCCAGCACCCAAGTCACGTGACTCGAACCCTTCAGTGCCAGGCACAACACTTGTCCTGAAAGACTCACCCAACAGAAGCTTAAAACTACCTGCGACCTCAACCCTACCGAAATGGCCAGCACCATTCAGTCCCAAACCGTCCGCTTCGGTCAACGACTCCAGCAGACCTCCTGTGGACGAATTGCCTAGATACAGACCAGACATAGTGGTTAAGTCTGAGAAATCAAATGCAACCACCGGTCGTGCTTCACGGATTCCTACTCAGCCTCTTGCAAGTACAGCAAACCCTCTACCCACTGCACCTAGAGTAGCAGCACAGGAACAGCCAGTCCTTTACGCTGTGCCAATGAAAGTCAAGTCACAACTGGCCCCTGATCCCTTCCCATCGTCGCGAAACGGGAAAACGCTGGCCGTGACAGTTGCAAATGTAGATAATATGGCTACAACAACAACCACATCAAAGACAGCAGCAGCAGCAGCAACAAAAACAGCAACAACAACAGCGACAACGAGTGCAACATTTAGGACTGGGCTCCGTCTTCCCACCTGGCCTACCCCGCCGGCCCCGCCCTCTCCACCCCCCTGGCCACTTGCCCGTCTTTGCTCTGCTGAAAACCCGTCTCCACCCACCTCTCTCCCTCGTCCGTCCTCTATTCGCCCCACTGTTGTAGGCAAGTCCTCTACCCTCCCCACTACCTCCACTCGCAGTAATATCCCGGTACGGAGCAGGCAGACAGAAAGAACTGGAAGCCTCAGGCGCCGCCTAGAGCTCAGGTCAGTGACGTCACGAGCCCCATCTCCGCTTACTGACAGTCCGCTGTGGAGTTCCAACAGATACTCCCCCTCCCCTTTTTCTCGCAATTCCTCCCTTTCTGCGTCTCCCTCCCCCATTTCCTCCCCCTCTGCATCTCCCTCCCCCATCTCCTCCCGATGCGCCTCTCCCTCTCCCACATCTCCGTACTGCTCAACTAGACTCCCTGTTCCTTCCACTTCTACTCGCGACCGCTCCACGGCGACTGTAATCAAAGGGCAGACAATTCTCTACTCCCCAAAGAACAAACCAAGCCCTGCCCCTCTCGGGGGGCAACCCGGCACAGTGGCTCCTCGTTCACCGCTCACGCAGAGACCACGCCCACTGCCAGAGAGAGACGACAGGTCACCGGTGCTCTCCCCAAAACCGACCAGGAGGTCACAGGTCTCGACTGCAAGGTCGAACGGTCTGTTGATCGGACAAGGAAAGGCATCGAGTGGAGGCCAACTCGAGGGTCGTGACGCTGTAGCAACAAGAAGATATGGGAACAAGCAGTCGTGATACATAATGTTGTGGCTGCATTGTGATGTTCCCACAGACACATAACGTATTCTAACTATTAAGCGATGTTCCCACATACAACAACGATTTTATTGCTTAGAGTCAAGCAGCAATAATGCCATGTGATCTCAAAGAGTCTTGGAACAAATTCAATAGCTACTGAACAATGTGACATCAAATGTTAGTGATACTGTACTCATAATGTCGAGTGGCCTCTGAAATTTGACCTGCGATTTCAGAAGCAACAGTGCTGGAATGCAAGATGATTCTATCTCACTGAGCTGTATGCACAGAGTGAACAGTGGGGACAGCTCATCCAGGGTATCTAATTTATTCTACAGTAAGTGCGTGCTGTTATCCAGAGTACTCTGGTGCTGTTAATTCACGAAAGGCTCTTGCAACTTCGCAATAACCACTTTGGCCATCACGCTCTTTCAATTTATCATCTCAGTGTCCTGTTGGACATACAGCGCAGAAGCTTTTTAAGCGCACGCTTTTGTTGTTGACACATTTCGTATCTTCCGATCTACACATACGTACTTGATTTGGATCAGACAGGAAACACAAAGTATGGATGCACCGTCGAGACTCTCGTAGGTGGGAGTCGAACTCACAACTGTAGTGTTGCAAGTCCAACAGTTTACATCTAGACGTCACCGCTCACTCCTAAAGAGTTCTGTGTACAGCCGTATTGTGACGTAGTCGGCCACACCACCAAGCAGTCTGGAACAACATGCACGCTTTGAAAAATGGTCTATTCTTAACTGTTTTATTTTTTTTAGGGGGGGGGG